GTAGACTGTTCTAGTTCCACGTGTCATATCTAATGGATGTCCTCAAGGACACATGGCACAATGGATAAAGGCGTTAGTTAGATCCAGTGACAGGACCCAAAGAGTGTGAGTTCAATATCTGGTTAAGGTGGTGGAGAACTTGGAGAGGGGAATTAACAGGAGATAACTGACATCCATTAAACATGGCATGTGGAACTAGAACAGTCTACCCCAGCCGAAATGTTGTAATAAATATGGCAACAAAGATGAGAACAATATTCCGAATAATGTAAATAATGTACATAATACCTCATCTCAGAAATATAGACAGGTACGTACCTCTATAAAGCATGCCTACGGCCACATCACGTTGAAACACCGATTCCACAAAAGTTAAGCAACGCCGAGCCTGGTCAGTCCCAAGATGGGTGACCGTTTGAGAATACCAGCTTGTGGTGTAATGGATAATGGCTCGGAATTGTTAATCGGAAAGACGAGTTCTAATTTCATTTGGTTTCATTATATTCCCTTACGTGCAAATATCCTTGGGAACGGTATGGATTCACCTCTTCTCCGCTCAGCTATGGGTTAATTAGTAAGACGTGTCAGTAAATCATTACTCCCCCCCAACCAATTCTTACATTGTAAAATTATTTTCTGGCTTTAAATAACCCGTAAACTGTTGGTAGGTCGTAGAAAACGAATTAGTCAATCAGTAAAAGACTCCAAAACTGGACAACATCTAAAAAACATTACGGCCATTTATTTTGTTTTGATTGCAGACAAAGAAGACAATAGCAATAAATGCAACAGCATATTAAAATGTTGAAAAAAAAACATATTTGAAAATAATTAAAAAAGCATTTTTGTTAAGTAAATAATAATTTTCAGGATAAAATTTTATTGCATTAACAATTTTGACACTGAAAAAAATCTAGTAGTAGCTGACTGATAGCTTAAACCTTAAAGGAAATTTCTTCTTCTCCTCCTTCTTCTCCTCCTCCTCCTTCTCCTCCCCTCTCCTCTTTCTTCTTCTTCTTCTTCTTCTTCTTCTTCTTCTTCTTCTTCGCGACGTTGGCGAACTTAACCCATCACAATTTCCTGTCCTTTGTAAAGTTTATCTTTTTGCTATCTCTCCTAATCTCCGTTCTGCCAACCATTTACACAAACTCGTTGGGTAGGCTATGCATTGTTTCCTCAGCTCCACTAGCGTTCGGCATGTCCTGGGAGTGTCAAATTTTCTAAGCCCCCTTTTCTCCTTATGCGCCCTACTTAACCATAAAGTGAATTTTGGTAAAAATGGCAAAAAAAAAAAAAAAAAAAAAATAAATAAAAAAAATAGCATAACTAATTTTGCAGGCTGATTCATTATACTAATTCAACTAAATACTGTTCCCTGAAACTTGCCAATCTGGGCAGACCATCTCTTCGGCCTTCTTCTAGGTCAATGCGTGTGTCAAACTAAAGATTATAAAATAGATATACACTTTTAATGGTATCTGTTAAACAAGTTCCTTACATGTTGGTAAATTAGATCTTCATAGGTACTCCATAATTGCTGCCTTGTGCCAGAACAATATGCGCTTACTAAATAATTGCTCTGCACCCGAAGAGTTATGTTCTCTTCAGGACGCAGGACTGGACTTTTTTTTTTTTTTTTTTTTTTAAATGAGAGATCGGCAGTCGCCCATACAACACGCTTCCTCTCTCTATGCCACTGATGTTATCCAAAGGAAGGTAGTGTGGCCAATACAGCTTGGTAGTGACGTTGTCACAGGAATTACCAAACCAAAACTGAACATGGTATCGCACTGTCTTAGGAACTCCGGCTCCAAATCTGAATTGAGTTATCCTTCTCCTAGTCTGGTTGCCAACCATGGCTACAGAGCCCAAATTGATATTGATTTTGAATTCAACGTTTTTCCTTCTCCTGGTCTGGTTGCCAACCATGGCTACAGAGCCCAAATTGATATTGATTTTGAATTCAACGTTTTTCCTTCTCCTGGTCTGGTTGCCAACCATGGCAACAGAGCCCAAATTTATATTGATTTTGAATTCAACGTTTTTCCTTCTCCTAGACCGGTTGCCACCAAAGACTATAGAACCCAATCTGTCCTTCTATTTTACCCATAGATGGGGGGGTATTATCATGTAAGTGAATGTAATGAACTTGATCATAATTCGAACTCGGCTCTCTGATTCCTGAATCCGAACTGCAATCAACCACCCCCACACTCTAAATAATTATACTGTTTGAAATATGTGTGAAATGAGCATTTGTGTGAGTGTGTGAGCTAAACTTATTACGTTTTTGTAAGTCACGTTACTTGTTTTCAGCTTCAGGGAATTATATTAATTGCATATCTTGAACAGATAGCTTCTTTAGAATTTTAAACGTCTGGTATTCGCGTGCTGGTCACCCAGACTTCAAATGGCTACGCAATTTCATCGTTCCTGCCAGCGACAAAACCAAACGAGCTTCTCCCGTTTTGTTCTCGACAGTGGGAAGCTAAGGTCAGGGTTCAAGAGAAACCGGCGAGAAGTCTATCTGAGTTTGTCAGCTTGGAGATCACGTGACCGGTCATAAAAATAGCCCGGAGAAGACGTCATTTGTATTTTCGATTCAATGGGAAGTAGAAAGACTGGTTGACGGAAGCTAGGGTTTCATGAGGCCGAGCGGGTCAGTACATTGGACGGCTGAGACAAAAGAGAGGAGAAAAAAAACATTTAGATTAATCGCGAGTTGCAAATTAAGAAGAATAATTAAAGCCAGATAAAGGGAAAATTAAACAATTGAGAAATGAAGATGTGGATAAAATTGGCTTTTAGCCGATAAATAGTTCAGGAAAAAAAATTCGTTAAAAACAACTCTCTTAAAGGTTGACAAAGATGGCCGTTAAGTGCGATACGAAATCACTTTCTATTTGGTTGGTGCATAATTATCAGGCGTTTTTTTTTTTTTTTTTATTTTTTTAAAATAATATTTATTATGAAAAAAGAAACCTAACAATTCAACAATAACATTTTAAAATGATTATTCCGAAGCGTATGGTTATCGACACGAATTTTTATAAACTGAAAATAAAGTAAACATTTTTATTAAAAAAAGGATAAACAAAAGAGCAATTTTTATTAATAACTCGCCTACCAAACGCCTGATAAGTATGCACCAACCCAATATTTATAGAATTTGTATTATTTAGAAAAAAAAAAAAAAAATGAATAAACGGATGAGAACTACTCAGTAATTAAGATTTAAATTTCATTTCTATAAATTTTTATTAAAAAAATAATAGTATTTTTTTACAATGCGGTTCACTTTGTAAAAGGCCCAAGAGCCACTCAAGGTATAGGATTGCAGAGTAAAAGGCTCAGTTTATGGAGACATGTGAATAAGATAACGGTTAACCCTACCTATGAACACTAATGGGTATGTTCCTATTCTCATAAATACGTTGGACACTATTATAAGTGGGGGTGATATGCTGTCTAAGTGGTTTACCTAGTTCCCGCCGCTGGCGAGTATTGTGTTTTGTTGATGTTATAAAGATTACCATTTCATTTCCAATCTCCGTTTTGGTCATTCCTCATTCAATAATCTTTTCTAGGTTACAACACTATCACAGTCACTACATTATCTATCTATCTATCTATCTATCTATCTATCTATCTATCTATCTATCTATCTATCTATCTATCTATTATATACCGTACCTATAGACACTAATGGGCATGTCCCAATCCTTATAAGTACGTTGGACACTATGGTAAGTGGGGTAATATGCTGTTTAAGTAATCCACCACGAGCAGTGGTTTACCTACTTCACGCCGCTGGCGATTATTGTATTTTGTTGATGTTATAAAGATTACCATTTCGTTTCCAACGTCTATTTTGGTTATTCCCCATTCTGTAACCTTTTCTAGGCTACAACACTTATAGAAACAGGGTTGGTAAAATTGACTAGAGGTGACGAACTTGATAATATTTGAAAGGCCAGCGTTACTTAACTTTTGAATTGATCATCTCCCCCACCAATTACTAATCTAAGTAGAGCCGAGCTTATTTTAAAAGTACCCGTCCCCCCCAAAAAAAAATGTCGCAAGTTTCGAAATTCAAGATTCAGTTACACTGTTATCAGTCTTGTATGTTCCAAAAAACAGAAACAAAAAATGGAAAATTCTTGAGAAGTTTATTTCAAGAAACACAAATAAAAGGAATAATAAATGGGATAACTTACATTTGAACCTGGATCGCCAGATTTCGATTCACCTATTATTTTTATATGTCGTGTCCCTTCCTATCTTTTGTAGCTCTAAGTAATTTTTTTTTACTTTTTATCCCTCCTAATCCTGCTTTTCGATCCTTTTACACGTGCTCGTTAGGTAGTTTACACACTACTTCACTCTGCTTCTTTTGCCTTTAATATATCCTGTGGGTATCAAATTCTCCAAGCCCTCTTTTCACATTATATATCCCAGAAATTTTAACTGTTACTTTTTTTTTGCGGTTAACCTTAAACCTGGTTCATATGCAATATCACCCATTATTGCAAAAAATATTAGTAGCACAATGCGGTATACGAATTAAAAGAGGAGAAATAATATCAATTCTCTGATTGCACTATTTAATAAGGATCTTTATTACTTCTTCCCAATATTCCAACATCCTTGTCTCACCCACAAGTCTGTATTATCCCAGATTGAGGACGCCTACTATAAGAGGCAAAACGCGAAGTTGAATAGGTTGAATGCTGTTGGGAGGAACAAAAACGAATGAAAATGAAAGACAAGTGTATTTTAACACATAATAAAACAACTTTTATTCATTTACTGTCTGAGAAGAGCAAGGATTTGTTTGGATTGAAACCATGAATTTCACAAAGGTGTCAGCTTGTCACCATGTTGAATTCAGAAGGGCCGTGCTCCTCTTCAAAGACAAGGGAAGTAACTCAAATTGTATTTTGAGTTATCGTCTTTTATAGGGGAATGAAAATTAGCTCACCTGACAAATAGCTTTGATAATGTCTTATAATTCTTACTTTTGCTCTGATATTATTCTACATCCTACCAACATCTATCTATCTATCTATCTATCTATCTATCTATCTATCTATCTATCTATCTATCTATCTATCTATCTTCATGGCCAGTTTTCAGACAAACAATATGGCTTTCCTTTACTGCTGACACATACATTCTCTCTCTATATATATATGTCTCTTTCTCTCTGTATCTCTCTATGTCTCTCTTTCTCTCTCAAGTCACTCTCACTATGTTTCCCCCTCACTATCGCTCTCTCTCTATGTCTCTCTCTCTGTCTCTCTATGTCTCACTCTCTGTCTCTCTATGTCTCACTCTCTGTGTGTCTCTTTCTCTGTGTCTGTGTTTCTCCCTCTATGTCTATCTCTGTCTATGTCTCTCTGTTTCTCTCTCTCTCTATGTATCTCTCTATATATGTCTATCTCTCTATGTCTATCTATCACTAGGTCTCTCTCTCTCTCTATGTCTATGTCTCTCTATGTCCCACTCTCTCTAGATCATTCTCTCTCTGTCTCTATGTTTCACTTTATACATGTCTATCTCTCTCTCTCTCTATGTCTCTTCTCTCTGTCTTCCCCTTTATGTCTCTCTCTCTTTATGTCCCTCTTTTTCTTTGTCTCTCTCTCTCTCTGTCTCTCTCTCTTTATGTCATTCTTTCTATGTCTATCTCTCTCTATTTTTCATCCTCTCTGTCTCCCTATCTCACTCTCGCTTTCTCTGTGTCTTTCTCTCTGTCTGTCCTTCTTTCTCTATGTCTGTCTGTCTGCCTCTCCCTATGTTTCACTCTCTCTGTCTCCCTATGTCATTCTCTCTTTCTCTGTCTCTTTCTCTCTGTCTGTCCCTCTTTCTCTATGTCTCTCTCTCTCTGTCTCTCTCTGTCTATGTTTCACCCTCTCTGTCTCCCTATGTCATTCTCTCTTTCTCTGTCACTTACTCTCTGTCTGTCCCGCTTTCTCTATGTCTGTCTGTCTGTCTGTCTGTCTGTCTCTCTATGTTTCACCCTCTCTGTCTCCCTATGTCACTCTCTCTTTCTCTATGTCTCTCTCTCTGTCTCTCTCTATGTCTGTCTGTCTGTCTGTCTGTCTCTATGTTTCACCCTCTCTGTCTCTCTATGTTTCACCCTCTCTGTCTCCCTATGCCACTCTCTCTTTCTCTGTCTCTTTCTCTCTGCCTGTCCCCCTTTCTCTATGTCTCTCTTTCTGTCTCTCTGTTTCACCCTCTCTGTCTTTCTATGCCACTCTCTCTGTCTCTTTCTCTCTGTCTGTCCCTCTTTCTCTATGTCTCTCTCTCTCTATGTTTCACCCTCTCTGTCTCCTTATGTCACTCTCTCTTTCTCTGTCTCTTTCTCTCTGTCTGTCCCCCTTTCTCTATGTCTCTCTTTCTGTCTCTCTGTTTCACCCTCTCTGTCTTTCTATGCCACTCTCTCTTTCTCTTTCTCTCTGTCGGTCCCTCTTTCTCTATGTCTCTCTCTCTGTCTCTCTCTATGTCTGTCTGTCTGTCTCTATGTCTCTCAGACACACTCGTTTACCCGTGCATGTAAGACACTTATGCTACAGATTTAAGTATGGCCTAAATGACTGTTGTCGTTGTTTTTACATCCCCTTTATTTTCTCGGCACCTGGCTGTGACCTTTCGAATAAATAACGCTCATAAATATTAACGACTTCTTGATTTTTCTCACAAAAGACAAACAGCGTTCAATTTCTTTTTTCTTCATTTTTCTTTCCTTTTTTTTTTCTTTTTTATTTTTTTATTTCTAACGATTTTCACACCAATTATTCTGGTCCTCCGACTTGGAGAATCAACACTGAACAAATAAATAAATAAATGAAGAAAGAAAGAAAAAATGAAAAAGAAAAAAAGAAAGCAAGAAAAATAAAAATAAACTGTTGCGTACCCAACAAAATAACCTAATAAAGTTTGACGTGTAAAATCATTCAACCATCTTTCTTTGGCCTATACTCTATTAGCAGGGCTGCTGTGCACTACACACGAATCCTAAGACCGGGGTGGAGCCTAATAGGGGGCCCCGGGCAGTGCTTTGTGAATCACGCTATTTTACCAACATTTTCTCTTTTCTACTTATATTTTTATAAGTTACAAATTAAATTAAGCACAACTGACTTAAAGGATGATAAATCTTTGCGGATTTTGACGTCATTCGGAGTTTATTTTTTTTTTGTCCAAATCCGTGAGGAGAATGTCAGCAATTATTTCTGTCCTTCGAGTAGCATAATCAATCAATCAATAAATAAATACAGAAAAAGAAAAAAAGAAAGAAAGAAAGAAGGAAAGAAAGAAAGAAGGAATGAAAAAGAAAAAAATGACGTCACTTTCTACGTTCGCATCTTTTAAGAGTGACCAGATCATGGCGCGAGGAATGGCAATAGGAAATCTATTCCATCGTCGGGGAAAGCGAAAATGATAAATCTATTCTTTTCCAATTCTGATTGAGAATTGTTTTAAAATTTTGCGGGGTCGGAGATACGAACTGAAGTTTTTCTGATATTAATCTCATCTCCAGTCATCTTGACTGGTCTTGTAACCAGCATGATACCTTGATTGGCATACAATTGAAATTTATCTGACATTAGTCTCCACTCCTGTCATCTTCACTGGTTTTGTCGCCATCATGTTACCTTGATTGGCATTCAATTGAAATTTATCTGATATTAGTCACCTCTACAGTCATCTTGACTGGTCTTGTCGTTAGAATGTTAAATTGACTTGCATTTAATGAAGTTTTTCTGATATTAGTCTCCTCACCTGTCATTTGATCGATATTGTCGACAGCATAATAACTTGATTAGTATTCAACTGAAATTTATCTGATATTAGTTTCCACTAGAGACATTTTGATTGGTCTTGTCGCCAGCTTCTTACTTTAACTGGCATATAAATGAAATTTCTCTGATATTAGTCTCTTTCGTCATCTTCACAGGTCTTTCGTCAGCATGTTACCATTACTGTCATTCAATTGAAATTTATCTGATATTAGTCTCCTCTCCAGTCATCTTCACTGACCTTGTCGTCAGCATGTTACCTTGATTTGTATTGAATTGAAGTTTTTCTGTCATTAGTCTCCTCACCTGTCATCTTGATCGATATTGTTGTCAGCATGTTCCCTTGATTTGTATTCAATTGAAATTTATCTGATAATAGTCTCCACTCCAGTGAACTTGACTGCTCTTGTCGTCAGCGTGTTCCCTTGATTTGTATTCAATTGAAATTTATCTGATAGCAGTCTCCTCTACAGACATCTTGACTGCGTTTGTCGTTAGCATGTTAACTTGATTTTCATTTATTGAAGTTCTTCTGATGTTAGTCTTCTCACCTGTCATTTGATCGATATTGTCGACAGCATATTACCTTGATTGGTATTCAATTGAAATGAGCGCCATTAGGTAACTTCACAAAAATGTTCTGAAGGCGAATATGTTTTGAAGGCGGTTGTTAATATATCCATTATGTGTGGGCCGGAACACCGAGAGATTAAGAATGGAGATAAAGACTGCCAAATTATTTCTCTTTACCAATCCTTTCTTTAATGATATTGTCGTACAAACCCAGCACAGTCAACTGAGGGATTGCGGGACTTTGTAATCTAGGATTATCTGTCATATGACACTTAGAAAGGTGATGGGCGAAGTCAAGTAAATTACGTTGCCCCCTAATAAAATTCCATGAAAGATAAGATGCCTAGTATAACACTGTGAGTTTGAAGGCGGGGAATGCGGTCATTATTATAGGTTGAAATTAATGTTTTTTTGTTTGTTTGTTTGCGCTTCATCAGTAGAAAACAATGGTGACGACCTTAATGAACATCCTCTCGTATTCCCTACAAAATAAAAGCTAAGATTTACAACAGATATATTCTCCTTGTACTGCTTTACGGTCCGGATTGTATTAATTGGGGTATAACACTTTTTAAGATAATGGAAACAATCTGGGATCACATCATATGTTTCATGAACAAAACTCTCCTAAGAGATCGTATGAGGTTGTGCAAATCCTTCTGAACCCAACTGGTCTGCAATCATCATCGCCTTAACATAGAATAAAAACCTTTAAGTTATATGGTCACATCAAACGAAACAAAAAAAGAATTATCAAAAATATGCATTTAAAGGATAATGTCAGGATTCTGTGTGTAGGTAAAATGCGTTCGGATTTATGAGAATAAAATCTCCAATAAATCAGATTAAGTCTTTCACATTGTCTTATCATATCTTTTGATTTGGATACTATTACCCACAACACACACATACACTCATATATTATGAAATGGACAAAGTCCGACAATTATTTTAAGACATTTTTATGTTTGTCTATATTTCTGAGATGAGGTATTATGTACATTATTTACATTATTCGGACTATTGTCCTCATCTTTGTCGCCATATTCATTATAACGTTTCGGCCGTTTTCAGCAAAAAATCATAATTCACGTTTCCAAGGATACAGAGAAATCCATTCATCTAGACAAGGGGTGTTTGCGTGTTCATTTTCGCTGTTTTTTTTTTTTTGCTGTGCATCTAAAACCCAGTAATTTTAAAAATAAGTTACTCCAAAATTCGCTTGCGGATGAAATGGAACTAATGTCTTTAATTTAATTACAAAATTAAATTCGAAGCTTTTAGCTTCCAATTTTGAAACATGGTTAGAACTGTGTAGCGAAAAAAAACATATTTTAAATCAATTAATTTATAATATTAATGCTCAGTAAATTTACATTGAGCACTATTTTGTAAAAATAAAAATATCTATAAGAACACCGGATTATATATCTTACTGTTCTTTCTTTTTATATATATATATATATATATATATATATATATATATATATATATATAATTGAATTAGAAAAGATAATAATGTTCAAAATTCATCGATGTCATCTCTGAGTTTCTTACTTATCATTCGTCAGGACTTTGGAGAAGAATGATTTCATTGCTGACATAAAGTCTATTTTATTATAGAAAATGATTAAATAAACCTTCTGTAATAAATACGGTCATTTTTATTGGAAGTCCTGACGAATGGCAAATGAAAAATTACGAAAATTACAAAACTGAGTTGACATCAAGAAATATTAAACATTATCATTTCTTAGACTCACACATTGACTTGGATATTCACTGACGCAAGCAGACTCTCTCTCTCTCTCTCTCTCTTGCACACACACACACATACACACACACACACACACACACACATACACACACACACACACACACATTTACAGGAATTCAAATCTACATAGGCTTACGGCCAGACACATTGAAACACCGATTCTCGTACGATCACCGAAATTAAGCAACGTGAAGCCTGGTCAGTACCTAGATAGGTGACAGCTTGGGAATAACAGGTGCTGTAAGCTTGGATGTGTGAATGACGTAATGAATAATGGCTCGGAATTGTTCATCGATTCCAATTTCAGTTGGCTACGTTATATTCACTTACGCGCGAATACCCTTGGAAAAGTTATGAATTCATCTCTTCTTCCCCCTGCTATGGGTTAATTAGTAAGACTTGCATCACTAAGTCATTATTATCTAAAAAATTAAAATAAATGAAAAAATTGTGTACAAAGTATTTATTTCGGCATTAAATAGCCCATAGAGGTGTTGATATGCCGCTAAACAAAAACAACCAACCAACAATGAAATCGACATGACCCTTGACATGAAGCAAGCCATTTCAAGTCATGAGAGAGTGGGTGTAACAATCTTACATACTGATTTCGTATTAGATGACGTCATAGATGTGACTTGTCATTTCTCCTTTCAAATTTAGCCTAAAGCATCAATACAGGACATTTTTTGCTGGAAGCCATATTTTATTATTTTATCTACCGTCAAAGGTGTGTAATATGAATTTAGGTAAAAAAAAAAGAGTAGAAAACTGATAACAACCTATTCAATTTAAGTTCCTTATACATTAAATTATTATTCATTATTATTACTTGAACTTTTATCCCAACACTCTGGCTCTATACACTCTTCATTATTACTATTATTTTATTACTAGTTTTATTCCATCTTATTAGTGTTGCTTTTCATCCCAACACTCTGGATCTATACAATCTTCATTATTACTATTATTTTATTACTAGTTTTATTCCATCTTATTATTGTTGCTTTTTATCCCAACACTCTGGCTCTATACACTCTTCATTATTACTATTATTTTATTATTAGTTTTATTCCATCTTATTATTGTTACTTTTCTCCCAACACTCTGGCTCTATACACTCTTCATTATTACTATTATTTTATTATTAGTTTTATTCCATCTTATTATTGTTACTTTTTTCTCCCAACACTCTGGCTCTATACACTCTTCATTATTACTATTATTTTATTATTAGTTTTATTCCATCTTATTATTGTTACTTTTTTCTCCCAACACTCTGGCTCTATACACTCTTCATTATTACTATTATTTTATTATTAGTTTTATTCCATCTTATTATTGTTACTTTTTTCTCCCAACACTCTGGCTCTATACACTCTTCATTATTACTATTATTTTATTATTAGTTTTATTCCATCTTATTATTGTTACTTTTTCTCCCAACACTCTGGCTCTATACACTCTTCATTATTACTATTATTTTATTATTAGTTTTATTCCATCTTATTATTGTTACTTTTTCTCCCAACACTCTGGCTCTATACACTCTTCATTATTACTATTATTTTATTATTAGTTTTATTCCATCTTATTATTGTTACTTTTTTTCTCCCAACACTCTGGCTCTATACACTCTTCATTATTACTATTATTTTATTATTAGTTTTATTCCATCTTATTATTGTTACTTTTTTTCTCCCAACACTCTGGCTCTATACACTCTTCATTATTACTATTATTTTATTATTAGTTTTATTCCATCTTATTATTGTTACTTCTTCTCCCAACACTCTGGCTCTATACACTCTTCATTATTACTATTATTTTATTATTAGTTTTATTCCATCTTATTATTGTTACTTCTTCTCCCAACACTCTGGCTCTATACACTCTTCATTATTACTATTATTTTATTATTAGTTTTATTCCATCTTATTATTGTTACTTCTTCTCCCAACACTCTGGCTCTCTATACACTCTTCATTATTACTATTATTTTTATTATTAGTTTTATTCCATCTTATTATTGTTACTTTTCTCCCAACACTCTGGCTCTATACACTCTTCATTATTACTATTATTTTATTATTAGTTTTATTCCATCTTATTATTGTTACTTCTTCTCCCAACACTCTGGCTCTATACACTCTTCATTATTACTATTATTTTATTATTAGTTTTATTCCATCTTATTATTGTTGCTTTTTATCCCAACACTCTGGCTCTATACACTCTTCATTATTACTATTATTTTATTATTAGTTTTATTCCATCTTATTATTGTTGCTTTTTGTTCCAACACACTGGCTCTATACACTCTTCATTATTACTATTATTTTATTACTAGTTTTATTTCATCTTATTATTGTTGCTTTTTATCCCAACACTCTGGCTCTATACACTCTTCATTATTACTATTATTTTATTATTAGTTTTATTCCATCTTATTATTGTTACTTTTTCTCCCAACACTCTGGCTCTATACACTCTTCATTATTACTATTATTTTATTATTAGTTTTATTCCATCTTATTATTGTTACTTCTTCTCCCAACACTCTGGCTCTATACACTCTTCATTATTACTATTATTTTATTATTAGTTTTATTCCATCTTATTATTGTTACTTCTTCTCCCAACACTCTGGCTCTATACACTCTTCATTATTACTATTATTTTATTATTAGTTTTATTCCATCTTATTAGTGTTGCTTTTTATCCCAACACTCTGGCTCTATACACTCTTCATTATTACTATTATTTTATTATTAGTTTTATTCCATCTTATTAGTGTTGCTTTTTTATCCCAACACTCTGGCTCTATACACTCTTCATTATTACTATTATTTTATTACTCGTTTTATTCCATCTTATTATTGTTGCTTTTTTATCCCAACACTCTGGCTCTATACACTCTTCATTATTACTATTATTTTATTATTAGTTTTATTCCATCTTATTAGTGTTGCTTTTTATCCCAACACTCTGGCTCTATACACTCTTCATTATTACTATTATTTTATTACTAGTTTTATTCCATCTTATTATTGTTGCTTTTTTATCCCAACACTCTGGCTCTATACACTCTTCATTATTACTATTATTTTATTACTAGTTTTATTCCATCTTATTATTGTTGCTTTTTTATCCCAACACTCTGTCTCTATACACTCTTCATTATTACTATTATTTTATTACTAGTTTTATTCCATCTTATTATTGTTGCTTTTTTATCCCAACACTCTGGCTCTATACACTCTTCATTATTACTATTATTTTATTACTCGTTTTATTCCATCTTATTATTGTTTTTTTTATCCCAACACTCTGGCTCTATACACTCTTCATTATTACTATTATTTTATTACTCGTTTTATTCCATCTTATTATTGTTGCTTTTTTATCCCAACACTCTGGCTCTATACACTCTTCATTATTACTATTATTTTATTACTAGTTTTATTCCATCTTATTATTGTTGCTTTTTATCCCAACACTCTGGCTCTATACACTCTTCATTATTACTATTATTTTATTACTAGTTTTATTCCATCTTATTATTGTTGCTTTTTATCCCAACACTCTGGCTCTATACACTCTTCATTATTACTATTATTTTATTACTCGTTTTATTCCATCTTATTATTGTTGCTTTTTATCCCAACACTCTGGCTCTATACACTCTTCATTATTACTATTATTTTATTACTCGTTTTATTCCATCTTATTATTGTTGCTTTTTTATCCCAACACTCTGGCTCTATACACTCTTCATTATTACTATTATTTTATTACTAGTTTTATTCCATCTTATTATTGTTGCTTTTTATCCCAACACTCTGGCTCTATACACTCTTCATTATTACTATTATTTTATTACTAGTTTTATTCCATCTTATTATTGTTGCTTTTTATCCCAACACTCTGTCTCTATACACTCTTCATTATTACTATTATTTTATTACTAGTTTTATTCCATCTTATTATTGTTGCTTTTTTATCCCAACACTCTGGCTCTATACACTCTTCATTATTACTATTATTTTATTACTAGTTTTATTCCATCTTATTATTGTTGCTTTTTTATCCCAACACTCTGGCTCTATACACTCTTCATTATTACTATTATTTTATTACTCGTTTTATTCCATCTTATTATTGTTGCTTTTTTATCCCAACACTCTGGCTCTATACACTCTTCATTATTACTATTATTTTATTACTAGTTTTATTCCATCTTATTATTGTTGCTTTTTATCCCAACACTCTGGCTCTATACACTCTTCATTATTACTATTATTTTATTACTAGTTTTATTCCATCTTATTATTGTTGCTTTTTTATCCCAAACACTCTGGCTCTATACACTCTTCATTATTACTATTATTTTATTACTAGTTTTATTCCATCTTATTATTGTTGCTTTTTTTATCCCAACACTCTGGCTCTATACACTCTTCATTATTACTATTATTTTATTACTAGTTTTATTCCATCTTATTATTGTTTGCTTTTTTTATCCCAACACTCTGGCTCTATACACTCTTCATTATTACTATTATTTTATTACTAGTTTTATTCCATCTTATTATTGTTGCTTTTTATCCCAACACTCTGGCTCTATACACTCTTCATTATTACTATTATTTTTTATTACTAGTTTTATTCCATCTTATTAGTGTTGCTTTTTATCCCAACACTCTGGCTCTATACACTCTTCATTATTACTATTATTTTATTACTAGTTTTATTCCATCTTATTATTTTTGCTTTTTTATCCCAACACTCTGGCTCTATACACTCTTCATTATTACTATTATTTTATTACTAGTTTTATTCCAACTTATTATTTTTGCTTTTTTTATCCCAACACTCTGGCTCTATACACTCTTCATTATTACTATTATTTTATTACTAGTTTTATTCCATCTTATTAGCTTTTTTATCCCAAACACTCTGGCTCTATACACTCTTCATTATTACTATTATTTTATTACTAGTTTTATTCCATCTTATTATTGTCCATTTTTTATCTCAACACTCTGGCTCTATACACTCTTCATTATTACTATAATTTTATTACTAGTTTTATTCCATCTTATTATTTTTGCTTTTTTATCCCAACACTCTGGCTCTATACACTCTTCATTATTACTATAATTTTATTACTAGTTTTATTCCATCTTATTATTTTTGCTTTTTTATCCCAACACTCTGGCTCTATACACTCTTCATTATTACT